TGGGGGAACAGATGCTGGCGGGAGACGAACTGGAGGCAGCCTCTGGAGCATGGGTGGGAGAGAGACCTGCAAGTGAGGAGGCCCAAAATTCAGCTGAGGATTCTTCCCGCATGGAGATCCTGGGGCCTGTTAAAGAAGAAACAGAAGAAAAAGTGGAAAACAGCCTCAGAGACAACCAGCCAAGGGCTGTTCCTGGGAATGGCTGGAAAGGACAAGATGGAAATGATGGAGAGCTTGGAGAAGATGGGGTGCAGGTTGCTCCAGCTCCTGAAAGATCATCAAGGGATGGACCTGGAGAGGAGATGGGTGACTTGGAGGGTCACAGAGCAGTGCCAGAGCCCCAGGAGGCCCTTGGTGGACATCCAAAGGCCACAAAGACTGTGAGCTTTGACACTGCCCTTGTCCACACCTCTTCCCAGGCACAGGCAGTGTGGGAAGCAGGGAAAACACCAGATCCATCCATCACGTCAAAGCAAGGAGAGAAACCATCCTCTCTGGAAAAGCCTGCAGATGTACAAGCTTCAAGCACCCTCCCTGCAGCAGCACAGCCTTTCCCCTCTGCCAGGGAAGCCCAGCAGATGAGGAGCTTGCAGGTAACATGGCCACGTGAAGCTGTCCCCCTTGCATGGGCTCCCATGTTTGGTTTACATAGTTTTGGGCCATCTGAGCTCAAACCATTGCTCCCAGTCACAGGAACCTGCCTCGCTCCAAAGGATGGTCAAGAAAACCCGGAGGTTTGTGGTGGATGGGGAGGAGGTCAGCGTGACAACCGCCAGGACTGTTGGCAAGGCTGCAGCGAGGGATGAGATGGTGCGCTCAACTCGGTAAGTGATGCTGGTAGCAGAGGACACCACCAGGCATCTTCCACCCATTTCTGGTCAAGGAGGACCAGGGGCAAAGGGGAGAGAGTGTGGGAGGGAGGATGGGTCTGTGGGTGCTTGACCTCCAGCCTTGGAAAACCCACCTGCCTCACTGGCCAGGGTCCACCCAAGCAGGAGAGCACAAGCAAGGCCTTCTCTGCATCCTCAGTGCTGTGCAGTAGGGACACATGAGGAGCCAAAATGTTGCCCAGTCCCATACCTGGTGTGTCCAGCAGCCAGCTTAAGGAAAGAAGAGGGAAAGATCTTCTCCCATAAGCTCTCATGTTACCCAGGGAGAGTTGCAAAGGATGAAAGGGGAGATGGAGGGACAGTGTCATCAGGTGAGCTTGGGAGCATGGCCATCGTGGACCCAATGGGTGTCCCATCTTTCTTTTTTGCTCGATAAAGTCTTCTCCATGATGTTGCACCAGGGCTGAGCTTCTCCCTTCCTTTAGACATCTACAAGTTAGCCATCCTGGGAGAGAGAGAGGTGCCTCCAGGGCCACCTTCGGCCCCCTCTCACTTCGATTCCCCAAACCTTTAGGCGCCAGGAGCTCCGTGAGCTGCGAGTGCTGCAGAAGGAAGAGCAGCGAGCTCAGAGCCAGCTGGAGCAGAAGTTTCACCAGCAACGGGAACAGATGTTCCGTCACATCGAGCAGGAGATGACGGTAAAAGGACCATCGTCTTTTGGTCTATGATATGGTCAGAGAGGGACACGTGCAAGGGGGTGCTGGGCTCCCACTGTGGGAGATGCTAGGGTCTGGAGGGGGTTTGGTTGCTTTGGTGACCACTTCTGGTCCCTGTAGCCCCATTAACCATATCTGCATGGCAGAGCAAGAAGGAGTTTTATGACCGGGAGGTGGAGAGCTTGGAGCGGCGCTACCGGCAGCTGAAGGAGCGTCAGGAGCTCGAGTACACAGTGAGGCTGCGTGATGAGGCCAAGCGCCTTAAGGCACTCCAGGAGAAGGACTGTGTGAGGAGGATGCAAGAGCTGAAGGGCGATGGGAGAGAGGTGAGGGTCTGGGGCAGTGCTGGCTCCCCCAGGTGTGTCACCAGGAGCCTGGGGACCATTTCCCTGCGTGCTGGGACCAAGCCCCTCTGTTGCTCACTGCAGGAGCAGCGGTTCCTGCAGCAGCAGCAAGAGGAACTCAACACAGCCCTGCAGAGGGTTGTCCAGGATCACAAGAAGAAGATAACGTCCATCGACTGGGAGTGCATCAGCAAGATCCATAGCCTCAGGAGAGGTGCACTGGGCTGGGAGTAGGAGGATGAGATTCTTGGGGAGGGGACCAGAGGGTTTGGCTGAGGGGTTTTTGGAGGTGGTCATGGTGCTGTGGTCTTGCCTGGCAGCCCGTGAGTCGGTGGTGTGGAGCATGGAGCAAGGGCACCTGCAGGAGAAGTACCAGCTCTTCAGGCAGCAGGTGAAAGAGCAGCACGCACTGCAGAGGCAGCAGCTCTGCAAGCGCCATGAGAAGGTGAGGTGGGAACCGCTGGTGATGGTCCCCCAGCCCTGTGGGCTCCCCACCCCTCTCGGCTCACCCTCCGCCCCTTTCCCAGGAGACAGAGAGGATGAACCGCTTCCACCAGCTCTTGCTGGAGGATCTGAGGAGCCAGCAGGTGCAGGAGCGTGCTCAGCTGCTGAAAAGCCAGCGCTGCGATGCCAAAGTCCGCCTGGCCCTCTTCAAGGACAGCCTGAAGATCCAGGAGGCTAATGGGGCCAAGCAGAGGGAGAGGGCCAAGCAGGTACAAGGAACTCTCTGGGGCCAATGAGGTTCCCCAGCACAAAGTATGGGGAAAGTCCCCAAAAAGCTGTAAGCAATGGCTTTTGGGGAAGGGGAGGGTGATGCGGGCTCCTCCCCCCTGCAGTTCGCGCAGCAGGAGGAGAGGCGGCAGCAAGCAGAGGTGCAGCAGCAGCAGGAGCAGCAAGCGCAGCAGTTACAGCGGCTGCAGCAGCAGCAGGCTGAGAGCCTGGCAGAGCTGGAGCAGATGCAGGTACCGCTGCAAAGCTGTCCACCCCGGGGGCTTCCTGCATCCCTGCTACCTCTCCTCGAGCACCTTCCTTCCCATTTCTGTCTCCCAGAGCGAGAAGATGCAGCTCTTGGCAGAGCAGGAGAAGAGGCAGCTGGGACGGCTGGACCAGGAGCACACCATGGAGCTCAGTGAGTGGAAGCAACGGCTGGCTGCCCGTAAGGAGGTGAGTGCTCTCACAGCTGGGGGCATCCCCTCCCCATCTTGGTCCACCTCACAGGATGTGACGGAGGGCTGCTTTCCCCGCCGCAACGCAGGGTACGGGCACGGGATATGGCAGTGTTGCTTCTCTACTCCAGATGCTGGAGGAAGAACTGGAGAACTCGCTGCCGGTGCAGCGGCAAGGTGGACTGCATGGCACCCACAGCAGAAACAGGATCACCCGCTTCTTCCACCTCCCCTCCTGACACTATGCCACGGATTATGGGGGAGTGAGAGGCAGGTGGCTGCCTGGGGACTGGTCCCATGGCTCTTCTGGGAGACAGGACTGAAGGATCTCAAAGGCAACGCAAGAGGTGGCTGCCCTGGGGATGCCAAGCCTGGGGGCCAAGCGGCCGGGCAGGACGTGGTATGGATCCCAAGGGTGGCAGGTGGGGCTGTGTTCGAGCCTGCCCTCGCTGTGCTGGAGGGGCTGGGGCGCAGCACATGCGGCCACCTCGAATCACCTCAGAAGCCCCTCGGGGAAGTCTCCCCCACTGGTGTCGAAGCTGTGGATAGAGGGGAGTTGCTGGAGCTTCCTGTGCAGATCTCCCCTCAGCTGAATTGCAACTCAAGGAAATACATCCCTTCCTGACAAAAGTCCCTGTTTGTGGCTATTTTACTTAAAAACTCTTGCCTTGTGCCCCACCAGTGCATCCCGAGTCTCCAACCTCCCCCCTCAGGTCAGCTCTCAGGGAGGGGTGTCCCGTGCCCAGCCTGCTCTCCACTTACCTCATCAGGGCCCTGAGGGCACTAATAAGCCCTAATGGCCTTGACCAGCCTCACCAGGGGCCTTGACCCACAGCCCAGGAGCTCTACTGACGCTCACCTCAAGGATGTCAAGTCACTGGGAGCGTAGCTGGGAGCACTCCCTGCCTCGTCACCTCAGACCCAATCCTGACCTGCAGACCAACTTTCTGGCTTGATCTTGGACCTGCTTTGAGCACCATGAAGTTGCCTGGTGATCTCAACTCTTGGTAGAACCTGGCCACCATCTCCACGTTGGTCCTGCTCACATCATTCAGGTACTGAGGGCTGGGTCCTGGATGGTGATGCTCCGGCTGTGCGATCCCCCACGGCTCCTAGGTCCTATTTTGGAGACTCCTCCTTCCCCATCTCAAAGGCCCATCTACAAAGTCTTTAGCAATTTATTATCTTTAAGCTCAGTATAAAAGGTAAATAATTTCAGGGGATGAATAGGACTACAGGAGAAACTGGAGACATGAGTCCACATACTGGGAATTACAGACAGACAGCGGGTGACACAGAGGAGCCTCTTGCTAGCAGGCACTGGCAGTTCACAGTGAGACGGAGAAATTCCGCTACCCAGATCCAGGAAAGAGCTGACAGATTGAAGATGGCAGAAGCCAGGTAGGTTGAGCGGCATCTGTCCGTCTGTACAGGTCCTATGTTTAGGTAGAATATCCTTGATTTAAAAGTCTTCCTGAGGTGCAGAGACCAGTGGGATTTCTCAGCAATGGTGCTGGGAGGAGAAAAATCTGCCACTGATGAGATGGTCCAGAGCGAGCACCGGTGAGCTGGGAAGCTGAGCTCTGTCCTGGGGATCAGCCCCAGTGGCCTGCTCCACACAGGGCTCAGTTGCCTGGTCTCACTAGGACATCGGACAGGTCCTCTGTGCCCTCCAGCTTCAGATTCTGGGGGAAAAAAAAAAATCAAACGCTAAGCTTGACAAAGACAGACTCTTCCCCTCTGACTCTGAAGGCCTGGCGTAAAAAAAAAAACCCCACAATGAAGGTTCAGAATGACCCCAGCCCCCTTCTGTCACCATCAGCACACGCAAGACCTTATTTGATGCCTCTGAACCGGATTTTCCTGCACCTCTTATCCCTGCTCACAGTGGAACAACAGTAATAACAAAGAGTCAGTAAATAAGATTACAATGCCTGTTTCTCCATCTGTACAGTAATTTTAGATTATTCTTCCCATTGGCTATTGCTTCAGAGTCTGAAATGCTCACAAAGCTGAGCAACAAAGTGCTCACTCCTCTGCTACCAGACCCAAGGACAAGGAAGGACAGACAGCAGTTAGGCTGGAAATGCTGCGAGTGCTTAACCACAGGCTGTTGTTCAGCAAAAAATCAGCCTAGTTTTTGTTCCCTTTAAGCTCCTGCCATGTCTCCTGTGTGCATGCTGCACTTACCTTCTCATTTGCCAAATGCAAGAGGCAGGCAAAGGCTAAGGGGACAGACAGATTGTTAGCCATGGCAGAAGGCAGCCTACAAAAAAGAAAAAAAGAGAGAAGGGAGAAGGTCAGGATGGCCAGAGCACACTGAAACCCGACAGCCGGAGTGTGCCTGCAAGGACCAGGTTGCCAAAGATTAACTCCTCCCCAGGGATTTGCTTTTTTCCACCTTTCCACTCCCACTAGCGAAGAATTTGCCAAGCTGAATGCAACCCGTAGCTCCCCCAGGCAAACCCAGAGAGTGAGAGAAAAGACATTTTTCCCCATCAGGGTTCAGTCAGTAGGTTGTGACAGACGCAGTGGGGTCAGCATTTGCCCAAGCTCAGCTACAGTCTGTCCCCCACCTTCAGCCCAGCCTTTTTTAGGGCCCCTCTACCTGTGAAGCAGTTCCTTTGTGATGTTGCTGAAGACCTTCTCGCCTGCTACCACTGATGTGTTGTTCTCTTCCTCTGCATCTTCCATCTATTTAGTAAAAAGACAGACAGAGACAGACTTTGCTCCCCAGCACTCAGCCTTGTGTTCAAAGAAAAACCCCTGTAAGTTACGCTCCATCTGTCCTTATCAACCATCCCATGGGAGGAAGACTACTAGAAAGGAATTGCTGTTAAACCTGCCCAAGACTGTGTCTGCAGGAGTTAAGCACAGTTACCCGCATGGCATTCTCTTATCCTTGGGCCCATCGAGGTATCTGACTCCCCCAGCACTCACCTCTGCCACTGTTTCTTTCTTCTGTCCATTAGTCAAGAGGTCCCACATGTTTTTCTTCAAACTCTTCATGTCCATTTTCTTGGCTGTCTTTGCATACTGGATTGCTATCTTATTGACCTGAGAAAAAGGAGTTGAGGGTTAGCTAAGAGCAACTGAGCAGCAGCACTATCCTCAATCAGGACCACAGGAACAATCCAAACATGGTTCTCCTTGGGAACAACGGTGAATGCTATCTTACTACTAAAACTTTGATTATTTTTTTTTATTTTTTTTAATTCCCTTTAACTTAATGTCCTTGTGGGAATTAATCTGGGAATAAAATGTCCAGTAGCAAACCCAGGAAATCCTGCACTAGAGAAAGTGCTGTCTCAGCACTTCTGACCACTCGAGGCATCAAGAGGCTTTGCTCCAGACCTGCCCAGTGAGCAGTTCACAGCTTGGTGACAATACAAGTCCTTACCTTCTGGGGCTCAGCAATGAGGTTCAGCTCTCCGTACGTTGTGATATCAACATCGCCAACAACCCTGTTGGGCTCAGTGTCTTGACCCTCAGGGTGGACAGTAAGGTTGAACTCCCCCGTCTGACCCATGAATTGAACGGGGTCATCATCATCATCACTGTCTGCAGCCTGACCAAGAAGAGATACAGCAGTGAGGCCACCCAGAGACATCTTTGAGGAGCCAGAGAAGTCCTGCACTGACATAACAAGAGCACCCACTTCTCAGGAGGGTGGCGATACCTGCCCACCTTCCCCATGGAACACATTCTTGTTCAGCCTCTCCCCAGGGTGTTTAGGCTGGGCTAAGGCTAAACCTAAGGGAGACCTAGAGCGCAGAATATCAAAAGGCTGTTCTACACGGAAAGATAACAGAGATGAGGGCTCTCCTGCCAGTCCTAAGCACACTCAGGAGGCAGCACTGGCCTGGCAGAAAGCCTAAGCTTTATAAGAAATCGACTTCAACAGGAGCTCCAAACAGCTGGGAGCAAACCTCACTGTGAAGAGATGACCACAGAGGTGAGTGATGGCACTGAGTGAGCAAACTGACTGGCAAACACCAAAGGCAGAAGGTTTAGTTGATGTTGTTAGAGTGAGGGGACAGGGGTGCATACAGACACTTCTGTAGCTTTGTCATAATCTGCAGTGCCAATTCTTTTTCCCTAGTAATTAATTCTGGACACAGATTCTCTCTAAATTATTCCCATTGCATATCAAATCTAGGCAGTGGAAAGAAATCTTCTTGTTCCAGTTACCTGCAATGCAGGGCAGAAATTGGAGGTGTCGTTGGGGTTGTTGTAATCGTACTCGCCAATCTCGTCTTCGTTATCCAACAAATTGTCTGACTCAGATGTCCTGCAGAGCTACAGAGACAAGACCAAAGGTCAGGAAAGGGAAAAACTCTAAATACTTCCCCAAGCAATGTCTGCACCTTGTTCCTTCATCACCTCCCCTTTTCCGAGCCTGCTGGCTCTCCCTCCTCCTTGCATACCAGCTCTCTAGCGAGCCCCTTGTAAAGTGCAACAGCTAAGCACAGCCGCTTCGGCATCCAGGTGAGTTCAGTGAGAGACGTGCTGGCCCATCTCCAGCCCTGAGGAACATCCTGAAGCACTTCAAGCATTTGGTTTTGGGCATGGAATCATTGCCAACAGGCTTTTGGAGAAGATCCTTACCTTAACAGCTGGTTTGAGGAACAGTTGGAGAATGGTGTTAGGGTCATAGTTGAAGTCTGTGGGAAGCGTGGTGCTCTTCACATTCTGGCTTTCTAGAATGGATTTGGCTAGAGTTACAGATGCCTGGGGAAGGTAATAGATGCCATTATCCATGAGCTATCCACTACTTGGAAGATTAATGCACAAATAAGTGCTTTGAACACGTTTTTGTCTGAAAGGGAGCAAGTTCAGAGATGCCTCGAAAGAGGAGTTCCACACTGGTCCAGTCAGTGCACCCAGTGCGTGAGATGAGCTGGTTGCAGATGACAGTTCCAAGCCATAGTGATATGGCAAAGGAGGTTGCAGAGGGGCAGAAACTCAGCACGTACCTTGGTCTTACGGAAATGTGCCTCAAAGTCAATATCCTCATCAAAATTAATTTCAAACGCTTTCTTTGCACTCCTTTTCTTGGTCTCTTTTTCAGAGTCAGAATCTACTGCAGAAAGCAGGGAAAGGATCAGTGCTCGGTGACAGAGCGAGGACAAGAAGATCACTCCTAACTTGAGCATCTGCTCCACATGGAAAGGTCACCTCCAAGGACTTTTGCCTTTGTTACAGTAAAGCAATAGGTGTGGTTCTCAGCTTTGTGTTT